AAGCCTTACACATAAAAACACATTTTAAAATAATTGATCCATTTTACCATGCTCTTTGCAGACCACTTTGCGTCATGGGGAAAAAAAACTGTTTTCAGTTTAAATGGTCAGCAATTTATCATCTGAGTTGCTGCAATCATTTTTGTTATGATTACCACTACTTTTAACATGCTTATAAAGATGCTTTTTTTACAACTTCAATATATATCTGAAGGTCTTAATACTATTAAAGCATTCATGGTCACGAGCTACAGGAGTTAAAAAGTTTACCATACCCCCTTTACTAGTGTAAACTTGAAAATTACCGTACGTTAGTCCCACAAATCAGAGCTATGCAGCTCTTGTTCAGAAGCGACCTGCCCCCAAATGATGGCTCAACGAAGTACCTTTACAGCAGACAAACACTCTAAACGCATGTTGAGTCTAAACGTGGAGGGAGAACCAGAGGACCTGGAGAAAAATCCAAGCGACCACGGGGAGAACATGCTAACTCCAAATATACAGACGCCAGGGTGGGAATCGAACCCATGACTTCCTGTATACCAGGTGAGGGAGTTAACATCTCGCCACCACAGCACCCCCAATGTCTTGGTCCACTGTGCTCTCCCCTGCGCCCCCCCCCCCGCCACCTCAAGTCCCCCCCCCATCTCAGCCCCCACCCCTCCACCCCCCCCCCCAAAAAAAAACAATAACTGAAGCAAAAATGAAAAGTAAAATAATGACCGTGAAGAGTGCCTTGGTCAACAATATCACCCCATTTGAGACCATAGAACAATCCTTTTAAAATACTACACGTGTGATGTAATGAGCCCTGAAGCAAGATCTGGTTACATAGCCGGGCTCTTGACTTTGAAACCAGGTGTTCCCTTTATTAAAAGGCTACATCATCATCATCGTCGTCATCCTATGCTACTCCACTTACACCAGTCTCTCCTATTCCAATGTTAACCACACAATTACATTCTCGAGAGGACTGTCAACAAAACGGATGAAAAGAAAAGGTGACAGCACATAGACTTGCTTGACCCCAGCCGACACTGAGGCCTACTCCCTGGGGTTGTACTAATTGCTCATGAGGCTGCCACTTTAGAAACTTTAACAATAATCCGATAAGATAGCGCGCTCTTGCATATTCCAATACCTATTCATACAACTGCCTGATGACAGCTATGACACCTTCAGAATGTTTAACGTTTTATATACAGAACTATAATTTTTCCAAACTCTAAAATTAACGGGGGCTATTGGCTTAAGCACAAGTTATAGAGGTTGTTGTTTAACCATACCTCACCATGCTGGTCAAGTGCACAATGAAGGGAGGACATTTAGTCAAAATTATCATGACGAATCATTATATCCAATACTCTTGGTAATATTTTTTTAGCAATTTCAGTCATCAAAAATTTAAAAATTTGCTCTAAATTGAAAAGCCCCAGGATTCCAACACCTCCTACTCCACCCCCCAACTATTGGTCCATTCACACTGAATTTGTCACAAATAACATCCGAGGAATTATCTTTATCTTTGCGACCTGTGAATATTGGTCTTGTATAATTCTGTGCAGTCGTACTATTAATACCTGGTCACTTTCAACCGGTGACATTCTGTTGAGGACTTTAAATATATTTTTAAAATCCAGGATATAGTAATCCGAATTTATGTTGCAGATTGCTGGAGTTATACTCATGTCCTCCACTACTCCTACAATGTGTAAATTATTTATGGAGCCGCCCCAGAGAAGAAAAAAAACTCCAAAAAAGTTTTCCCGTGGATTTTTGGAGCCAAATGACGATTCGTCATGGATCCACAACAACATCATGTCTATATCCCCAGGGATTTTTGGAGTCCAACTCTACATGCGCATCAAACTTTTGACAATTGTAAAAAAAACATCTCTTATTTATACATCTGACCACAGAAGTTCCCAAGTGCATATATACTGTAGGCCACCTTGATCCTTACTAATTTACTCGTTAATATTTTGGCTTATAGATTCAATTACTAAAAGCTGTACTTCCAGAAACATTAAAAAAAGACAAACTAGTCCCGTTCATAATTATTTACAACTTACATTGTCATATGTTTAATAACTGAAAATATTCTAATCCAATCGCCAGGATCAGTTACATTAATTATTTACCAGGGAGGAGCCTTGCCCCATTTAGATATCTCGTGAGGCTGCCAAAGTGCACATTTGGAAGCACTACATTTTCGCAGCCAAGATTACGATTCATAATAGGTGTTTGGGTGTGGTCACGCAACGACCTGGCTATATTTGTGTCGTTAAAATCCTCCACCACCCGACATAACAAATTCAACCGTCACGTGGTGTACACGCGTTACCCGCCCAATAATTATTATTGTTTCGGCTCTACCGGTGAGTTAAAGTTGTAAAAAAAAAACAATCCTTACAGCCAAATTTTTCAATTAGGTACGACGTTTTGTGTGCAACTCATGTGGTCGTATCGTGAAGGTGTAATGTGTCAATGTAGCCCACTCAGCACCCTTTCATCTCCACCTGTATGTATGTTGAACTTCTTTCGCATTGTACATAGCCAACCGTGATAATCGGAGGTGCGGGGGAAAGGACTGCAAAGCAAACACAAAAAGCAGTTCTAAAGAAATGAGTTCGTCAATCTAGATGATTCAAAAGTGGCATAGCTCCAGTGGCTTCCTAATATCGGAAGAGCGTTCCAGACGGCCCTGAGCCGGCAGTAAAACTCCACATTCCCGCTAAGGGGGCAAATGTCCTCCATAGGACAGCCACTGTTGATCACAGGTAAGACACGTAAAACTCTTGTACAAGTAGCACATCAGCTGACGGGGATTATTCTACAGCTAGCGGAACCCGGTATAGAGACATACACGGCACAGGATGCATGGAAGGCCACACACGGGGCCAATGAAAAACAGCCTTGAGGGTTTTGGGTGCCTGCACACTGTTATATCAACGCTTGTCTGCAAGCAGAGAGGAACACGGAGACAGCGAGCTCTGCTAGGGTGTCTCCTCCCTCAGATATGTTTCTCCGCAAGAAAAATACAAAAGGCATATTTTACACGACCATCGGACCCCACTGATTTCTGGTCAGTGCATCATTTCAGGATCACGGGGGGGGCTGACAGTTGTGCAGAAAATACTTTTACAGAGAGACAGATATATGACGGAGACGTATCGTCTGCTTATCTGTGTTGTTACTTTATATTCCGCACAATGACGCGAACGGTTATTTTTCCACCAGCTGGTGACGAGTCGAGGTCTGCCTTTGCACAAAGCATCTGTAGCAGCAGGCTGCTGGTGAGACGCTAAGCTGGGGCTGCACAGTAAAGACTTAATTGCAAGGGTCAATTTGGAAGTCTGCTAAGGGGTTCTGATCATGAAACATTAAGATATTATCCATGTAAGCTGTGACAGATGATGCTAGCAGCCATAATTGTGGACACATTGTGGAGACGTGATTGTGGCCGCTCGGCGTCAACGTGACACTTAATGAAGTAAGTTATAAAGTATGTGCTTGAAGTGGTGCGCTGAGCCTGCATAATGAATGAGTCGTCATCAGTGTGGAGTGTGGGTATGTGTGTATGCATGTTGGGAGCGGTAATGGAGCAGCTAAGCGCACTGCGCTACGAACCCAGCGAAACGAGTGCGATTCCTGCTCACGGCCAACACCAGCGACGATTATCTGAACCGGTCCTGGGCCTCCTCTAAGCCGACTCGTTGGTGCTCATTAACAGCAACTACCCAATCAGCCTGTTCAGACTATATGGGGGACATTCGTCTATCATTGTGTACGCATGTGGTAGTGCAGTGGTGAGCACGTTGCACGAGCAAACCAGCGACATGAGTTCTACTCCTGCTCATAACGAACATCGGTGACGAATATTTGAACCGGTGCTGGGCCTCCCATAGGTCGACTCAACCTAAAATTCGGTTCTGATGCAGTGTATAAACATCAGCATTGGGAAGACAAAGGCGGGCGGGTGTGGTGCTGATCACCCACCCCCTGGTGTGTCGTGCCGGCCTTCATAGGTGCTCACTAACAGCACTTGCCCCAACATTCTATTAAAGGCTATATGGGGGATCTTTGTCTTTTATGCGTGCATGTGACCGAACAACATGATGCATTTAATACGTATTATGTAATGTCCATGTGCACATGCAACCATATAAAGGCTAAAAATGAGAATTCACGTGGCTCTAATTAACATCGCTAATGATAACCATACCTGTAGAGCTATAAAGCACAGTTTTATTCACTTATCCCAAACAACTGCAGGAGACTGAAATTATTTATACTGCAGTTTAACTCACATTTAACATGGATCACACTTTTAACCAAAGGTAACGCTCCACCCCATCAAGCTTTTGCGTTGCTGGTCTCAGCGTACACCGCTTACTTTAACTCAACTCTACTTTTATGTTACACCGACGTTTCAAACAACATGCTCTTACCGTACGTTGCCATCGTTTAAAACTTTTTCCACGTCGTGAGTTTTTTCACCGCCGGCGTTTATTAATAAATAAGCGGGACAGCAGCGACAACACACACTTTTAAATTCAAATTATTTGGCAAGCGGTGCACAAGCACAATGAACAACACAATCTCAACACATTCGTCAAAATAACACCGTGACCTTAAAAGAAATATGGATACATATCATACTGAACTTTTCGGGAAATGGATCAACGTGCACTCCTTCTCCCTGCCCTTTCTGAACTATGTGCGATGAAGAAGGGCCATTTCCCAAAACGTCACCCATTACAAATTCGTCGTTTCTCGAAAGGCCACAAGTGTTGTTGACGAACGTGTTGAGATTTTCAATGCAGCTTCAGTCGCATTAAACAAGTGCCAAGCAAACATTTACCGATTGCCAACACTGGAAATGCACTGGCAACAGATCACAGCAGCCACATGTAACAATGAATCGTGGTCTTCATAAATAACGATGAAATGAACAAGTAAAAAACAATCCAGTAAAAAAAAGGTCCCGTGGAACTAACCTTTGTTGATTTCGATCAAACGATGCGGTATTGTTTCCTGATGTTTTCTATCCGGCTCTGAAACGTGACGTCAAAAATCAAAGATGAAAGTGGGAATCAGTTTTTTATCATAAAACAATATTGTCAAGCGCACAGCCACACATGTTAACAAATGAGTTGAAGCTACAAAACACGAAGGCTTGCGTGCCTCCCAATCGCGATTTAACTTGCTCAACCTGCCCACTCTCGCTCATGCGCAACATATTCCTGATGGGCCTAAAGCTGTGCAAGCTGGCATAACACGAGGAAGAACATTCTTCAAATGCTCTATCACAGCGCACACCGAATGCAAATAAATATATAAAGGCCCATTAATTTTTTCACTTTCATTCAATAAAACCACCCTCTCCCGTACGGGAACTTATCTCAACGGCCATCACATTTCACGGGAAAACGCATTAAAATTTGTGACACGTTTAAAAACACTGCTGCAACCACATTGCTTTATTTGTAAGACAGCAGCTCAAACAGTTTTTAAGGCGTCCCACATTGAGGAACACCGGTAATCATACGTGTAATATTTAATTACAATAAAAGTATAAATTTTGATTTAAAGCTTTCGTGACTGCAGGGATTCATATTCTTGGTTCATTCGGTAAAGTCACGTAGAAGGGAAATAATAAAATAATAAATGTAATAATATTAAGCGTCATAAGTTTATTATTTTATGATTTCCCTTAACAATATAAAAATATTAATTTATTATTTCCCTTCTACGTGACTTTACTGAAAGAACCAAGAATAATAAAAGTATACTTTTGTTCAAGGATATCCTTCATGTTCTGTATTTACGGCTTTTACGGTATGAATGGTTACGTAACAATACATTATTTACGGCACGTTGTCAATCGGTCGCACGTGCAGATTATTTGACCGCACTTTTGGCCATGCCGCTCCGTGTGTTTTCGCGAAGGGTAACGGCCCAAGGATCAGTTCCAACGTCACTTACCGACGGAATCGGCCATGACTGAGAATAGCTCGGTGGGCTAACGACTGCACCTTCATTCCCTCCCCCCCCCCTCCATGAATGGTTATGCAGGGCGAGATGTAATAGTGATCTTTTTCACCTTGGCAACTGTCTATTTGAATTCATTGCATCTCTACCGTAGAAAATGTTGTTGCAACTGTAGTGATATATTCATAATCAACGTTTTTGGGTTTAGATCGCGTTATTTATAAATGTGTCGTAACCCTCCATCACCCGACACGGCCAATCAGTAAAAAAGTGTCACGTTGACAAAAGACAAATTAGTTCACTGCTTTAGCCCACTAATTTGTCTTTGGTCAACGTGACACTTTTTTACTGATTGGCCGTGTCGGGTGGTGGAGGGTTTACGACACATTTATAAATAACGCGATCTAAACCCAAAAACGTTGATTATGAATAATATTGGTCGCGAAAGCCTACGTGTAGTGATATAGCAACAATTATTTTTTTTGAATTTATTTTTGCAGCAATTTGAAACTAGATTTGAGCAGGCAGCATATAAACATTACGTATTATACACTGGTATTCGTATTCATAAAACAAACATAACTTAATTTGTTCTCTTAGAGACGAAAATTTTATATTGTAAATCAATAAGATTTTATTAAAAGTTATATGAACACTGCAACAGAGTAAAAGATGTGTGAGAAATTGCATAAGAATAAAAAAAGACGTAACTCTGTAAATGATTGCTATCATCTCTCTCGTTGTAAACATTCACACTATAATGAGACAAACTTTTAATTGCACACAACATGAAACGGACAATAGAAAGCGTCAATGACAATTTAACAGTGGTGTGAAAATCGCTCGAAAACTGTAAACTATCATTTACTTGGGTAAGATGCAATCATTTACGGCATCACTCGTTCATGAAACATTTGTTATTCAGAGAATCAAATAGAAATTAAGATTGATGGTCATAATAAGAGCAATAATAAACATAATTTATCATCAAAGGATGGCTTCCCAAGTCTAATACTACTTGGCAGAAGGATCTTGCATGAGAATGTTTGGCAAATTTTATTTTAAGTCGTGTTTTGCGAATATAATACAAGAAGTCAATCTTAAATATACTTTGCCATGTAACTGGAAGCATCTTCAGGGCGAGCTTTATCAATACTCATCTCTATACGAGTCCTGTCCTGAGCAGTGGTACAAAAAAATCTACATTATGGGGACCAGTCTATCCACATAACTTCTGCCGACTATCCACAAATCCAAAGTTATTTGATCAATGAGAATAGGTTTTTCCCATTTTTTCTGGTAACAAAACAGGTGTTAAGATGTTAAAACAACAAACTGAAACCTTTTACAAGGAATCATGTCTGCATTAACCACAATACCTGTGGTCAGAATGCAACCCAAAAAAAACACTGATAATATATGCATTGTCTTTGAAACTGATTGGTCCACACCAGAGACAGCTTTCTTTTGAGCCTCGTCTCAAACGGTGTTAGACCAGAGGACGCCAAAAGGCGTTTTGACATCTTAACACCTGTTATGTTGCCAGAAAAAAAGGGAAAAACCTAAGATCATATTTTGGTACTGGAAAAAGAGATCCCATGATGTTATTTGATCAATTCCAGAGGGATGATAGGCTGAGTTCATTTTAACTCCTGAATTTCTAGTTATAAAGCATGGAGGGACTTCTGGGCTCTGTGACACAAGTCACAGACAAGTCACAAAGCCCACCATATCTGTTCTAGAGAAGCCACACACAAACTGCATTTGGCCCAAGGTTGAGTGTTTACTACTTTTGTTGATACCTGAAAAAGAACACTTTCTCTGAATCACATTGCACCAGCGAACCGAGCAAATGATTTAAGTGGAGTGGAAACATGTTTGTATAAGCCGTTTTTATACAAATAGACCAATTTAAATTTCTTCTTGAAGCCACAGGTTGAAAGCTTGCTTGAGTGGTTAAAAAAAACCGTGATGGGTGGAATTACCTTTTATTTAATATACTATTGCAATGAGGCATTACAGATTGGATCTATTGCACTTAAGGAAGAAATCATAGGCTATATAATACAAATATTCACTTTTGATACTGGTCTACCAGCACAACAACATGGCTCTTACATACAGACCATGAAACGGTGAGTTTAACACATAGCAAGCTTTCGCGAACAATATGATCCATAATAGAGGTTTTTTGGACGAGATCGCATAAAGATAAATGTGTCGTGAAACCCACCACCACCCGACACAGCCAATTAGTAATGTTTGTCACGTAAACAAAAGATGGCGATTTGTTACTAGTTCAGCACACCGGTGTGTCACATTTACAATTCGAGTATAATTGTAAATGTTGTTGGTTTACCCTCCAAAACACAGGCGCGCTGAACTAGTCACTAATTTTACGTGACAAACTTTACCAATTGGTTGTGTCGGGTGGTGGCGGGTTTGACGACACATTTATATTTAAGTGATCTCACCCGAAACATCTTTATTATCCATGAAACGGTGATTAATCTCTCACAGTGGAGCAAATCTGAATGCACTTTCTTCATAACAATCCACACCCTATTATTTATGTGCAAGCAATTGTTTGAATATTCTTTCTCAAGGTTTTTATCGTAGCTTTTTTTGACAACGTAATATCCAAAAAAATGAAAAATAAATATGTGGCCCACTCGACCTGTAGGTTTCTGAACAGTTATTCCATGCCAGTGACAATCGGCATAATCAATTTTTTGTTGGTTCAGCGGGTAACAAGAGTGACGTTATGTATTCATATTCTTGGTTCTTTCGGAAAAGTCACGTAGAATTTAATTGTTTAATATATTTATTATTTTATTATTTCCCTTCTACGTGACTTAACCGAAAGAACCAAGAATATGAATCCCTGCAGTCACGAAAGCTTTAAATCAACATTTAGTGACGTTATGCTTTTGCTAACACATTTTTTAAATACCCGGGAACTACAAAAGATGCAAAATTTTACTGCTAAAAGTTTCCAGTTCATTTTGTTTAACTGGGTGAGAACTCAAGGGACCAGAAAGAGTCTCATTTGCAAGGGTGACCTGGGCCATTAGGTCTGCCAGTAGTGGGCGATGATTGCCAAGGTTAAATCGCAATTGAGTAATTGCCAGGTAATTCTTAGAATTTGACAAATTTGGATGTTGACGTCGGCACACAACGGCCTAACTCGTACGAATGACGTCATTTGACCTTTTATTGTCCACTCTGAAGCAGGCGTGTATTGCTATAGTTGTTACACCTGCAGTAATAACCAGGGCGGCTGCTGGATTCGAACCGCGAACCTCCGCAACGGTCAAGGAATGCGCTATCGCTAGGCCAAGAAAACCTTAACCAGCTGTGGGGCACCGTGTGCAACAACAACAAAACCATATACCAAACAGAGTAGGGTCACGTCCTAATGTACCGCTGCACGCACTAGAAAGAACATTTTTAAACGGGACCTGTTCCTTATTTTATACCATTCTTTGTTTGTAATTGAAATCCTAACTCTGTTGCACAGAAACTAAAACAGTTGTCATTAACTATGAACGTCACTTCCCTGAAGACACATTGCAGCATGCTGCGTATGATGAATTAGCCAATTTACATAAATAAGAGCTGTCATTGCAGCAAACATTGTCTGAATGTTCAAATAAATTCTACATTTGTCAAACAGTGCTCGGACAATCATTGAGCATGTTTACAAGCCTAACGAGCAGTGTTTTAGCAGTCATTCATAATAATTATCTTTCTTTTTCAGGCTGGAAGTACATCGGGGGAGTCAGAGGGTCGTGTCGGTAATGTTAAACACGTTTATAAACAGACACAAAAATTAGGGCACAATCGCATATTTATCTACCGTGCACCTTTGCGTGTAGATTACATTGGACATGGTGGAGCTTACAAATACACTTTGAATAGGAGCCAATTTTATTGTCTCCCCTCCTGCGATTTTTCTAATATCAATTCTCATTATGAATTTATTCAAAATTGTAAATGCATTGACAACACCTCGACACTCACCTGTGCACTCTGCCACCTAACACCTTTCACCTGTGCGGGT